TCGTGCCCGTCCGTGGTTCCGCAGTCGGGCTCAGGGCTGATGCTGCCGATGGGCCTCCCCGCGGCTTTCCCGGCCAGACCCTCATCCGGGGTCCCGTGTTTACCTGCAGAGCTTCAGCTGCCCTAGCGGAAAGGCATCGGGGCAGAACGACGGCCGCTCATTAAACGGCAAAACTAGGAGATAAAAATCATTAGTTTTTGATGTTTTACGTACAGGGGATCGCTTGTCGCAGCAGTAGCGGGATAAGCCTTTCCCACCCTTACCAGGCCGCGCTTCTTGTGGAGTGATCCTAACTGTTACAGCTTGAAATTGAAATATGATAAAAGCTGCAGGCTTAAACCTACTCTCAAATAGTTATCTTCTGAAAGAAACTCTTCCAAAACTCCATCCAGACGATGATGGCAACTGCTGCTCTGTGGGGCCTGTGCGTGGCCAGGCCGCGAAGCGTGGGACAAGCGTGGCGGAGGTTTGGTTGCCGGCCTGGCTGTGAGGGGGAGCTGCCCCCGGGAGCGCCGCGCCGCGCCCCAGGCCGCTGCTCACCTCCCTACCGCCCACCAGCTTTCCTTTGATTATGTAGGTTTTGGAACAACTGCAGCTGATTAGTATATGCTAATATCTATGCATATTGAACATGGAGTGCTGAACTTTGATTAAAGGCTGCTTTATGATGGGAGAAGGAAAAAAAAAAATCAGCTAAGCGATACCTTATTAACAGTAGAATAAATGGTATTCGTGCATCTGAGAAATTAGCATTTTGTAGCTACTACAGTTTTCTAATAGCTATTTGTGCTTACTTGATTTTATTCATTACAGCTTGGATGTGGTGTGGCAGGCTGCTTTCTAACTTGAAAAATTACCATAGATCATGACAGAAGCAGTAGTCCATAATATGTATGTATTTATCCTTTCCTACTTCTTGGCAGATTATGTATTTTTTGTTTCTCCAGCTCAGAATATCTGGCCTCACCTATGTAGTTTTTACAGTGGTATAAATAAATATATATCATTTAACTTACTCCCTTCATGAATAGATGCTGATAAAAGTTGGGGTTGCATTTCCTGTCAGTAAGTAAATTGCTCTGCAAACATAGCTCCTTGTGTAGTGTGACAATCTCCTTTTAAGACATGAGATCATGTCAAAAAGGATCACAATTTCTTTAGGATTGGCATGAAATGTTATGAGCAAATCAAATACGTTAGACCCCCTTACTCAGTAGTGCCACACAATGCCAGAGCAACACAATTTTAATTTCTCTTTACATCTGTTTCCTTGTCTCTGTCTGCTTGCTGTGTCTACCAAACACCTACCAACCCCGAAACAATTCTCCCAACCAAACAAAAAATTCCACAGGCCTGAGGGAAAAAAAAGACCAAAAAATAAAAATAAAGAAGTACTGGATATTAAAAATCACATACTCAGTAGAAATACCAGTTTCCTGATGTTGTACAGTTAACCTCACATCCGCTTCCAACAGGCCTCTCACTGTCTTACAGGCAATAATTGGGCACACTCCTCCACTCAACAGCAGCTAACAGCCTCATCCGGACTCTTGCAAACAGCTCTCTCCAACATTAGATGAAATTATCTCACTGAACTCAACTTCTAGGGGCTTAGGGGGCTGTTTTTGGTTTGGAGTTTTTTGTTGCACTAGCTATTCTAACCAAAAGTAATACTTTTCCTTACAAACTTTGTGTCACTTAAAGCTAGCAGGTGTTTTGCATTTGGCCAAGTAGCAATTGGTAGTTTCCAGCAGTGCTGGTAAGGTCTTTTGGCCATTAGGTATTCATTTGCTTGACACAAATACATGGGTTGTGATTAAATGAACTATGATTTGATTGAAAAAGAATGCTTTCCTCATTACTAAGTGCTACTCTTACTTTTTTTTTTCATGAGTATACCTATATCAAGATTAAAAAAATCTCTTTTCTTTCTATTATATTTAATGTTATCCATCAATTTTCTTACACCTCTTTCAGAAACACTTTGGGATCTTTCTGCACATTATCTTTTGGGTTTTAATGGTGAATTTCTATATCCTGATAATCATATGTTCATTGTTGCCAAGGTGTGTTCATTTCTGCATTATTCTCCTCTCAAGACAGTTGTATTTCTATTAGGTTATTTGCAGGTTACACCTTCTGTATTATTTTACTTCTTTACAGTGTGGGATTCCTAGTAGTGAATTTTTCTAGCTCGACCGCCTCCTTGCCATCAGCAATTTTACATTTTCCTCTAGGAAGATTGATGCTGTGATTGGTGCCAGAGGTGCTCTAGATTATTAGTTTATTTCTAGCGGGTGTACTCATGTGGCAAAACAGCTGCTGCTGTGACTGGAGTTGGAGTATTAAAGGATTTGCTCTCGTATTAGATTTACTGACTTATATTACAAGGAAAGAGTTGCTTCATATAATTACAGCGAATTACAGGATTCAGAGCTGTGATTCTGGGAGCATTCTAGATACTTCCTGTCAGAGTTCAAGTCTGAGCATGGTGTTACATGTTGATGCCCAATGCATTCTGTTAGTGATGTATGTAAAGGGCTCAAAGTTAGAGTTGTTGTTTATCCCAGCTAAGCAAGCTATCAGATATGAATTATCCTATGTAATGTTAATTAGCTTTTATTGCTACCAATATCAGTCTTCAAACAAATGGAATTTTAACTTTTTTAGTGGATGCTTATGAGAGGTATTGATAATACAGTCCTTGCTGAAAAGTATTTTTGAAACTTCTATTGGGTTTCAATAAAGGATAAATTTGTATGGCTCTATAAGGACAGATGATTAGACTCACTGTATCTATTTTTTCACTAATTTTTGGTGATCACCAGTAGGGGACAGAAGAGCAGCCATGATACAGTGACCGATGGCAAGCTTTTGTTGATGCAGGCAGCTGGATAACCTCCAGATACCCAATTTATACTCCACCCATCTTCTCAGCTGCCCTATGGCATATGCTCCTATGGCTTGCTGAGTCATCTTTGTTCTTGTTTCTTGTGACTTGCACCCTCACACTGCCTTCCAGTGCTTCTCTCCTTGACCATCACGTGGCTCACTTGTGAAGTGCCTTCAAACTGTTCAGTTCTAATCAGTTCTGAGTAGGACGTGTGTAGCTATCATCAGCTTGGAATTGTCATATCAGGAGTCTAAGAATATTTGGTATGTGAGAACTTTGGGGACTGTAAGATGCTGATGCACCCACTGATTCCCTGAAAACAGAAGAGCAACAAGCATTTTATGAAGAAGATAGCACAGACTAATCTGAGCAAAAAGGTCTTGTACTAACTTGACGAAGCTTGGCTGAAAATCCTGTAGAAATAATGAGCTGAAAAGATTTTGACAACCAGACAATTGGTATTTGTCTTTCAGCAAGGTTAAAAAGAATTGTGAGCATCATCTAGGTGTCATTATTTTTTTATGCATGTCCATATGTGCTATTTCTTTCACATTTCAGAAAGATTTATCAAATTAGACCCATAAGCTGCTAAAATTCAGACTGCTTCTATTTTGGAATATGTTATTAGTGTATTCTCTATTCTAAGTTATCGATAACCACTTTCTAATTACAATTTTTATATTTTTTTTTCTCAAAAATACTTTGTTCTACTTACAACAAAACCCACATACGTAAGAGGAAAACAAGCATGAGTTAATTGAAGCACGAGACAATATGTGTTTCATTAATATGAAATTAATAAGCTATAAATCAGCATAGCTACATTAATTGTATCAGTGTCTTTTTGATGTACATATATATTCTAAAATGTTTTTAATTATTAATCAGTTTAATATAAATAAGGAAGTGAAAGGTTAATAAGTATCTTGATCCATTCATGAGAGAGATTTCAGAGAGGAAAATATATGCAATTATTATTATACAGGTCAGATGCAACTGTCCCTTCCACTACAGACATAATGTATTGTAAGTACTGTGATATATACTTGTCCGAGTTGCCACAAAATCTTTCCTGTTGGTGCCAGGGAAAATCCTGAATCCCAGAAGGGTGTCTTAATCCCATGGCACTATTACAACAATATAAGTACCAATCTGAATTCTTGAAACTACGTGGATACAATGAGCAAAGGAGGAATCATAAGTCAATGTAGTGTATGTCAATGTTTAACATTTTCTCAATGATTCCACTGAGTCTGTATCTTAAATTCATTATGCCACCTATCAGTTTTCTAGAACCCTGATGTTCTTTGATATGTGGTAGAGCATGCAGACAGAAACAACCTCTTGTCCCTCAGATTTTCTACTCCCAAATCTCATACCAACCTATTTCTCACATTACCGAAGTGAGACTTATCACTGGTTTTGGGTTTCCAGGTAGTTTTAAGTAAGTAGACTTTTTTTTTTTTTTTTAAAGCTTTCAAGTTTGTTTACGTGTTGAATGGAATATTTGCTGACAAAACTGTTTTTTTTCCTTATAGATTTCCTATAAATATGTGGCTTTCCACTAATTATTACCCATTTTTTTCCAATGAATAAATAGCTCAGAGACACACTAGTAGACTAGTGCCGTAAAGAGACAAAGACAAAAATCTGCTTTCTGATCTGCATAGTGGATCTTGATGGTGATGATACTATCTGACATAATGGAAAGAAACTCATTCACGGATACAAGAGCATATCTTAATGTAGCTTTTTTAATGCTAATACACCTGTCATAATCTGAGACTTGAATATTAACCATATAACGGTATGTGCAGAAACCCTGGATCCTAATGGAGCAGAGTGACACCAGCTTCCTGCTCTTATATACTGTCTCTATAGGTACTGTGATGTCAGTGGAGAGCGTCTTGGTTTATATGGGCAAACCTGGGATTAGAACTGATCTCTTTTCCCTTCTCTTTAAACATGACTACTCTATATGTACACATTAAATACAAGCATTTACATGAGGCCTTATAG